TACTGTCCTTTCTGCAAGTTCCTTCCCTTATATCTTACTCCATGTGCGCACGAGAGCTGCGCATTTTACATCATTTGCATAACTCGGTTAGGCGCGTCTACCCTGAAATTTGCATAATTTTCTGGCCACTATTTCTTGGTGTTCCATTTTCAATGTCACGCAGTGTAGAATTTTGTCGCCGTTAGCTTTTATTCCTTCTTTATAACCACCTTATTTCCATCGATATATTTGGGAGCTTCTTGTTTCCCAAATCCATCGTGTGTCTTGTCTTTACCAGACGAGAAGCCGCTTGGCCATCGACTCCAAAACCAAGTGGTAGCTCCCGGTTGACTGTCTAGTTGGGAGAGATATATCTCTCCCTTATAATGAACCTTCGAGATCACGACATATATATATTGTCATAACCAAAAATGGACATAGCTTGTAACTGTAAATAATACATCGGGAGCTTGGCGAAGGCGCTTGGAGCTTGGCGCCTCGATAGGTAGCGCGCGCTGTCAGCTCGGCAAGTGTTATGTACCTAAGCTCCGATAGATGGTGGGTACGCTAAAGGGGAAATTTGTGTAAACAATAATCGCCATCTTGAGGGGTGTAGCCGATCGCCAGCCGTTTGAGTCTCTGAAATTACTTCCTTAATTTACCATTATTTTATGCATTTAACTTAGTTAACCTCTATTCATTTTTATCCCTCAAACTATTTAACTATTTAAAGTCATCTAATAAATTATTATTTTATTCTACCCAAACGACTCGTCACCTTCATTACTGTGACAATATGTTGTAAAATGTGTGACGCCGACATCGTCGCAGTAGGCTCCTCATGAAAGTATATGATGAAAATCTGGCTGGCGGAGGTGATCCTTGCTGCTTCTGTGAAAAAGAAAACCAACACTCAATTCATTTATTGATAGAATGCCCAATCTTTCACAGCTACAGAATTAAAACAAATTTTCCCATTAAAGAAATGTACGAATTTGAATTTATCAAAGACACGTATGTAAAATTCAGTAATGTTTTTAGATTCATTTAGCCTTTTCTGTTTAAAAAAAACCTATAAAATATAATATGACTGATTTTGTTTTTTTAGTGTTATTTTTTAAATTGAGTTACTACTTAAAAAGTAGAGTTATAAATTACCACCAATTTCTATACCAAACATCGTTTTTACAAATGTTTCTATACTTTGTATATACCTTTCTATCTGGACCTTTGTTTCACTTGTACAAAAGGTCTTTTTTCTCATGGGTGAGTGGTTGTCTTCTTTATAATATTTTCTTTTTTAACTTCTAGTTTCTGGTTTCAGCTATAGCAGAGTGGTGCAGTGGAAGCGTGCTGGGCCCATAACCCAGAGGTCTGTGGATCGAAACCACGCTCTGCTATCTTTTTGTTATTTGATCACAAATAAAATGTGATGACCAATGATCGGGTTATTTAGATTTCCTCTAATCCAAAGTTCCGTTTATCTCTAGGTGTGAGAACAAGTGAACATATTTACAATATTCTTGTTTCAAACATATGGAAGAGTGGTATAAACCCGGGCACTTTTTCTGTATGAAAAAATTGCTCCAATGGTCCCCAATTCTTGAAAATGTCCAATCCCACAAATACAAGTAAACAGACGGAATCGTGCTTTTCACAGGTGAAGACATGTGAAACAATTGTGGTAAAAACGTCGACAACTACTACCTAAAATAATCATCATGGCCTATACCATGTATACGAGGAAAAAAAAAAACAAAAAAAAAAGGTTTAAAACAATTATTTGAGTATTATATTTAATATATTAATAATGCAAGCACACGTAGAAGAGCAGAGTGTTGCAGTAGAAACGTGCTGGGCCGATAACCCAGAGGTCCGTTGATCGATTGGATACTTTATAGGATACTTGATTCCAAAACTACAGAGGGCCGATAAGTTGAACGAACTACATGACGCTCATATGGCAGGTCATCTGGGTTTTGCTGATTTTTACGATAGATTTAAAAAGAAATATTGTTGCCCAGAGCTCTATCGGAATGTTAGAAAATATGTCAGCCTTTTTCAGAGCTGTCAACAGAGGAAACACCCACCTCAAATACTGCCAGGACGCCTGATGCCTATACCACCTACATACCGACCATTCCAAAAGATAGGCAAAGATCTTTAACTTGAGCGCTTCCCAATATTACGTGACAAGAAGAGATGAATCATAGTGTAAACCGACTATATGTCTAAGTATGCGATCACTAAGAGCGTTTAGCATCCGGAGAAACTCAGGAAGTCGCGAAATTCCTAGTAGAAAAGGTGATACTAGTTCACGGAGCCCCTCGAGAAATTGCGACGGACGGGGGCCGCAACTTCCAGGCAAAGCTGATCAAGAAATTGACCCACTGTTGTGGCATAATAAAAAGAACCACTACGGCGTATCAACCACAAACAAATGAACTAACAGAACGGCTGAACAGAACCATAGAGGATATGTTGTCCATGTATGTAGACCTTGAACAGAAGAATTATGTGGGATGAAAGCTTGCCCTCATCACTTTTACTTACAATACCAGAAAACAGGAACCGACTAGCTTTACACCAATTTTGTTGTTGTTAATTATGGTAGAAAAGCTGAAATCCTTCTTGACATTTTACTTCTCTATCCAGAAACTACAAATGGTGACGAGTTTATCGAAGAGGGAGAAAAAAAACAAAACAGAAGAGGCGAGACAGATTACACGGTTTCACATCCTGAAATCACAAGATATCGATAAAATGAACTATGTTCCAGAAATAGAGAGACAGCCTCCCGTCCTGGTGACTTGGTCTGGATATACACTCCAGTACGACGTGTAGGGTTGTTTGAGAAACTGATGAAGCGATACTTCGGCCCCTATCAATAGGCTAAGAAGTTTTCTGATGTAACCTATGAAGTAGAACCATTAGAAGAACAAGGAAGATATCAGAAAACCAAGGACCTCGTGCACGTTTTAAGGATGAAACCACGGGGGGCCATCTAGACAGGAGGACCAAGACATAGTACTGGCAAAGGAATAAAAAACTATCTAAATGTGAGGGAAGAGCAATGTTAACATTCAATCATTACTGAATTATTTTTATAATATAATATTTTCATTATTATTATTATTATTATTATTATTCAATATTCACTGTTAGCTTCCCTCATTGAATCTCAAGTATATATACACGTATATTTATTTTTGCATAAAATAAATGCCAGAGCCAACAAAAGTGTTAGATAAGCCAACTCTAATAGTTTAACCACACACGGCCAGAATGAATCTGAACAAATGTACATTACATAACAAGAGCATGGATAAGATAAGTGAACCAGGAAGAACCAACTGGGTACAGTTGGCTTCTAGCTTCGATTCATTCAGAGAACTTGACGCCAAGACAGGGATAACTGGAGAGCGTAATATGGTAAACGACTAACTTTGAAGGAATTATGAAAATAAATTAACGATACTTTTTTTTTCAAAGAAAGATGATTGATATAAAAAACTTGTTAAGAACTTTTTTTAGATCAAATAGTACTCGAGACAGAGGCACTTTTGAAGATAAATGGCGATCATCAAGATCGTACTCGAGACAGATCAGATCTTGTGGATAAACGGCGATCATCAAGATCGTACTCGAGACAGAGGCGATCTTGTGGATAAACGGAGAAGTATGTAATACATGAGAAATAGTTTGCTCTTGAAGTATCAGAAATCAGTTTGGTTCCAATCGCAAAAACAGATGATCGAGCATTAAAAGAGTTGGCGTTTTTATGAAAACGGCCAATTTTCGAAATTTTTGATGGTCCGATTAAGTAAGGAGATCCCAACAATGAGGGAAAAAATCATTTAAACATGGGTAATTGCATGGAGAGAGTGCACAAAGACCGCCAGCTCGAAACGCTGGCCCAGCCACGGCGGCAAGCTGAACGACCCCTCAAAGTTAGGGTCATCGGGGCGAAGAAATGCCCCGGGACAACCAACATCCTCGGGGCCCAGGTGGAGGGGAGCTAATTAGCTCCCCGAGGACCCAGTCTGGCCGGGAGCTCAATCCAAGGAGTCGGCGGAGGCAGCCAAACCATCACCACCCAGGCCTAGAGACGGATGGAGGAAGACGCCCGCTTCATTCCTGGGGAGTAGACACCCTTCCATCCCGCCCCTCCCCCTCAACTCCTTGGGGTGGAGCGATGCAGCGGTGGACGACCGGTGGGGAGGCAAACCACCTTCAGCCCTCCACCGTCATCAGGAAGGCCAGGAGGAAGATCCAGTGGGCAAACGCCTGCGACGGGTTCCGGGCGGCTGCGAGGTAAGCAAATTTTCTTTAATCCCCTTATAGAATGTTGGCCCTAATGTGGTGTTTGTCTGCAGGAGCAGCCCCCGGCGGACATCGGCCGGACCCCGCGGGAAACTCCGGCGCGGCTCGACTCGCGGCCGTCCCGCCCGTCGCCTGTCCCCCTTCCTCCTGGGATCCCCACCCTAGTCCCCGCTGCGATCCTCCTCCGTCTCCCGCCCCGTCGACATCCGGAGCCCCGGTCAGACCCACCGGCCTCGGTGGCCCCCACCGTGTGCTGGGCCCCGCCTTGCCTCTCTCCATTGCACAAAAAAAAAAATATTTTTTTTCAAAATTCTAATAGAATAAAAATTGGCCTTTTATATGTTCCTTTATTCCTTCAAGAATTTTGATCAAATTATTATGAGTGAAAATAATCAGCATAGGGTGAAAAAATGACCCTATAACACTCAGTAGAGGACACGTACCTCTACTTTGTACCTGAAGTACCAGTTTGTGCAATTAGAAGGTAAGCACTTTCAAACACTATTCATTAATATAAAAGAGAAATACAATGCCAACGGTCCAATTCATTCAGTAGAAAATATTTCCCTTAAAATATTTGTCAGGTTTCGTGTTTTACATTAAACGGGGAAAATTTTAGCCTTTATTCTTTCTTTCCATCAAAAACAGTCAGAGAAGTACGGAGAAAATATGACATTGCTTGTTCTAATGTTTACAATGGTTTTATTAGATCTAGTGGCTAGGATATTTGGCTTTCACTTAGGAGGCCCTAGTTCGATTCTCGGCGTAGGATTTTTCTTTTTAATTTGTAATTTGGTGGTAAATTAAATATTTGTGTAATCAATGTACTTGAGATGGAAAGACGCACTGATCACTTTTTCAATCAATTAGTTAAATGACCAGGCTTCACTCTGTATCTTCTTCAATGAATTTTGACAGAATGAATATTTGTTTCATCAAAATTATTTTTAAATATAATTCTATTATTAGGAGTAAATATTTTATACTAGACGAATGACCCGGGCAACGCCCGGGTTTACACGATTAAATGTATGTCATAATTTGTATATAACTGTATGCACCTCCGACCCACTATGTATGTACAATGTATGTTTTAAAAGGATTTAATAAAAGAACAAAGGTAACTGGAGGATAGAACGCCTTAGAGAAAAACCTAGGAAGTAGGCTTAGAAGAGAACACAACTATTAATAAAGTCACAGTCAACCTTATGACCCCGGAAATCCTAAAAACTAAGTTTAACGACCAGTATTTCCTAGGCAAGGCCGGAAATATCTTCCGACAAAGACCTCAGTAGAGACCAATTAGAAGATAACACCTAAGTAGGTCAACCAATAGCCAGATAGGAAATTCGGCCCTGCGAAGCAGGGCCAGGGACGATATGGGCTCAATGCGGCCCTTGCGTCCACTGTATTTCGCTGAAATCTAGATCCACACACAGCCAGAAGGAATGATGCATTCTCCATGCACCGAGCGGCCATTGGTAGGCCCCTCGCGCCCGCCATTATGGTCTGGCTCCATGGGGTTGACCATTCACCCACAGGCGTCACCGAGAGTTCATTGGCAAGGTTGCTGACCGAGCCCTCTCGTTCGGACTTAGAAAGACCCGTCCTACGCTCCCATAGGACTCCCCCCCCCTTTAGCCCTCGTACCCTTATCCAGTACTCCCTGAATCCGCCGACGAGTCAGGGACCTCTGAGGCACGAGGTTTTCACAGGGAACCAACGAGAAGGCGGGGGGGTGTTACTACTGTGTGCACCCCTTGGTTTTTCAACACCAGGCGTCCCCGGTGCAATTTCGCGTACGGCTGTGACGCTCCCAATGGCGCACACACAGAGCGAAGACCCAAGAGTTTCAAGACACGTGCGCCGCCTCAGACGACCAAGGACAGACGGCCAGCTTACAGCTTCACTGGACATCAGTCAGTGGCACCCCTACGGAGGACAACACGTAGAGACGCCTCTCCACCCACTCTAGAGACGGAACCACCTACTAGAGTACAGGAAAACCAACATTGAAAACCAATAGCCAACGGCCATGTGACATCTTCCTACCAATTAGGGAACAACACCTAAGTAGGTCAACCAATAGAAAAAAGCCCACGTGACAGCTTCCCGCCAATGGGAAAGAAGAAAACTCTTGGTGTTAAATCGAGAACCTAGGATAGTTAGTAGTCGCTTCGCTCCCACCGAGTTCGGATCAGGCTTCGACTCGCTCTCACCAAGGTAACCTCTGCTCTAGAGACCTCTCTCTCAATTCATCCCATAGTCAAGTCGGTCATCACCATGTGATCCGATATTTAATAGTCAAAATCGCTCCGCTTTCTCAAGCTTTCTTTCCTCCAAACCAGTTGCCTTTTATTTTCAAACCCCATCACGTGTCCTGATTATTCCTAACTGTATGCTTCACTTTCCACTCAAACGACTGCGTTTCAACCAATCCTCACCATTCTCATCGAACAACAAGAAATTCCGCAACGAAATTGTCACATGTTTTATTCAAACACATAAAACATAGCAAAATAAAACATAGCAAATAAAGCAAGAGCAGTTATTTTAAACGGCGAATTAGATCAGTTATAGCAAAAAATGAAAAAATATATGTAAATATGTGAAATAGTTATAAATTAGAAAACCTGTAAATATAGTTAAGGACTCTTGCATTGTAATTAAGAAAAAGCTTCTTGTCTAGAACGCTGAGGCGACCTGCCGGCGGCGCGCGCCCGTTGGCTGCCGGCGAGCACGTGACTTCCCTGTGCGCGCGCATGGCTGTCGGCGACGCGACCGCCCGCCATGCGCGCGCACAGGGAAGTCACGTGCTCGCCGGCAGCCAACGGGCGCGCGCCGCCGGCAGGTCGCCTCAGCGTTCTAGAGGGTGCTGCTCGTGAGCTAGGTTGAATAATTTGAATATATAGTTTTAATAATTAATTTATGTATTTTTTAAAATAGCCTATCGTCATCCCCGTTATTTTTTACCTATGTATGGAAATTTTGGTTTGAATTAGTGAACTACTGCGAATTTGTATACCGGACATACAAACCAACAAACAAACATACAAACATTCATTTATATATATATAGATATCGAGATATAGAAATTTAGTAATACATATTGTTGCACCAAGTTGAAGCTTCGCAGGGTAATTGACCTTGGTTTCCTCCTTCTTGGTGTTATACACGTTTCCTGAGCGGCTTTCCATATTCAAAGCAGGTAAAGAAAGGTAAATTATATTTTAAAGTTTTTGTGTTTATTTATTCTTCCTCGTAGGTCGTGATCCTCAGCTTTCCTCTAGGTCCTCTCTCTCCAATAGACAATCAAGATATAAATATACAATAAAAATATTACAAAAATAATGAAAATATCAAAAGGAATGATACCCTAGTATATAATTTGTTTCAAATGATATTATATATCATAGAATATATTTTGAATAAATGTAGGACGCATCAAAATTGATGCAACATTTCCACCTCTCCAGAGGTTGTCATGTCCTCGTGAATGACCTAATCAATTCTCTCATAATAAGGCTTGAGTCTTGAAACATGAACTATCAGAGGGTCTTGGCCCGTATTATCTTTCGGTTCTATTAGCTATGACACTGTCATAGTTCTTTTTCATTCTATCTTGTGTCTTTATTGTGTTGTTATGAATTAATTTTCTTGTTCTCTCTATTTTGTCTAAGTGATGTTTTATGTATTCATCATAATCATCCTTGTCAATGTCCACCGAGATATTCCTGTCGTCCAAAAGGGACGTGGGTTCTCTTCCAAACATCAGAAAAAATGGAGAATATCCTGTGGTTTCCTGAATTGTAGTATTGTAAGCATGGGTGATGAATGGGAGTATTTCATCCCAATTCTTCTGACTGTGTTCGCATACATACTGAGCATATTGATCAATGTTCTATTTAACCGCTTTTTCAATCACATACATCATATATATGTGCGAAAAAATAATCTAAAAAATAAATAGGTCGTGTTGATATTAAAAATAATATTTAAAAAAAAAACGTATTCTATATACAGTTACGAGCGTCATTCTTCGTCGCCTCTACCACGGTTTGCTTTTTTTTTGGAATGGCGCCCTCCTATTGGTCGGCTACGATCACGCCACCTTTGCCACCCCCCCCCCCCCCACTCGCATTTTCGTTTTTGTAACTATTGTGTTGGAGCGGGTCGCTCCTTAAATAAATGCAATTATTAGTTAATAACCAAATGGAATCCTCTCTTTCCTTTTCCCAGTAAGAGACGCCTACGGAAGCCAACAGTACATAGACAGATAAAGCACATAGGCTATAGTTATTAATTAACACATGCATTTATTTAAGGCGCCAAATTATAATTGTAACAAATAGTATTTGAATCAAAACATTCACACAATCGGGTAAAACACGGGCGTTGCCCGGGTCATTCGGCTAGTATATGTATAATCTCGAACTTTTCTTTTGCGTTCCGTGCGAAGTTGTGGATTTTTTAAATTCCTAAAGTACAATCATTTTCATCATGGTTACTTTTCTTTTACAAATAGAGCATCTTTATACTTTTTTGTACAATCTTTTGTCAAGTGTCCAGTCATTCTTCAGGATAAGCATTTGTTTTGTTTTAACAGTATGCATTGAAAATTTTCATCAGGTTTAAGATTTGTTATATTTCTTTATCAGTTACTAATCTTTTGGTATCAAAATTTACCAAGTTATTTCTGTTTTATTTACGTGCCTATATATAATTTTAAATATACCTTTCTGTTTCTGTGCATAATGTTTTCTATTCTGGTATTGTTCTTTGGCTGATTTGCTATTTACCACCTCCAGAAAACTATTTTCCTTTAAAATAATATCAGTTTGGAATTTTCATAACTCGATGCTTTCTATGATTTATTTTTTAACTATGATGTCGTCTGTATTCATTTTTATAATTTTAAATTCTTAATAAATATTTATTTCACGGTAACCCCCCCTTATTTGGTTATACGCTACGTTGTTAACTTTAAACATAATTACTATTCACATTATTTTACGGAATATCCTTAAGATGTTAAGCCCAGATACAAAAATACCCGCCTGATAGCCTACACGGGAAAATAGTTCCATTTTTAAATAACCTAATTTAATCCATATGAAACTAACCTAACGTATTGATACACCTGGAGTCATTTGTATCTAGGAAACATATGGAGAAAGAGAATCGCCCCAAACATTTTCCAGGTGAACAGAAACAACAATTTTAGAGGCAAATATAAAAAAAAGAGACAAATCAACTTTTTAATTATTATTTTTTATTTATTTATTGTTACAAAAAGCACGAAGTCCAAAGGACTATTGCGCTGTGCCAGTAATATTTACATAAATATGATTAATTATTTACACGATGGATTAGTAGTGTTTTGTAAATTATTGTACAAATTATTCTAAACTTAACAAAGTTCTCATAAGATAGAGTATATACACAAAGAGAATTTGGTAATGTTTCAAAGTATCTACATACAATTTGATTAGTCAGAGGGCAAGTTAAAAGAAGATGCTCTGGTGATTCAACATCTAAGCGGCATTCACATGTTGGATCATTGATAACATTCAGTTTGAATAGGAAACTTAAGAAGGGTCCTTTGCCTGTTAAGAATAAAGTAGTGAATTTATCAGAAGAAATGAAATTTGGGACAGCAATTGGAAAGAATTTCTTGAACAGTTCATTAGATTGAGAAAGATAAAACTTAATTTTTTTATCCAGATATAGTTTATTTAATTCTTTTTGAAGGGTTTTTTTGAGTGTTTGATCAG